CACCAGGTTGGGAAAGTCTGAATTGGGATATAGGCTGCAACAGCTGTAAAATGGAAGGATATTCTGAGCAGAGAGGCACAGGAAGGAAACAGCTGCTCCCCCACCTGCTTTTTACCCTGCGCCGCCCCCACCTCCCCAATGTTCTTAGAGAAGTCTCAGCCCTGGAGATTAGCTAGTCAGGGAAGGGGAAGTAGCTGCTGTGGGGAGCAGCCAGTAAAGGATGAGTTCAGCATTACTGTCCCATCAGCCATTTATCTGCTTTAAATCCCTCCCCAGCCTCATGTTTTATAGCTCTTAGCAGGAGTTCATGTTCTCATTCTTAAATTTGTTACTGCAATGTATCACTGGGCCCTAAGTAAACAAACATGCAGGTACAAACTACCTAACCTGCCTAAAAATGCAGTTTGGTAAATATCATTATAAAAATAATTAAATATAGTTAGATCCATGAGTGTACAGTATTGTTAGTATTGTTGCTGCTGGCGTTATATTATTTAACATAACATTTCTCACAAACTCCTATAAAAGGTATATATACATATGAATACTTAGGGTTAAAATACATACATAATACAATATAAAATGATTTAAAATTAATGAACCACAACTTAAAGCAGGAAACAATAAACATTAAGTCAGAGTCACATAGAAACAGGGTGAGTCAGAAGGGGTCTCCCTGGCCATCTAGTCTGACCCCTAGCTCCAGCCTCTCCGCTCACGACATGCCCACCGTGTGCATGTCTAGCATATCCTTGAACACCCTCACCGATGGGGCGTCATCCACCTCTCATGAAAGTCCATTCCATACGCTCAGGGCCCTAACTGTCAGGAAGTGCTTCCTGGCATCTAAATTGAATCTTGGTTCCCTGAGCTTGGCTCCATTGGAGCGTGGCCTGCCCTCTTCTGCAGGGGAGAACAGGTCTCTACCCACCTCGTGTGTGTCACCCCCTCACATACCTGTCTGTTGCCAGATCCCCTCTGAGTCTCCTCTTGTCCAGGCTGAAAAGACCCACTTCCTTCAGTCTCACCTCATATGGATTTCCCTGTAAACTGGCCACCAACCTTGTGGCTCTACGCTGCAGTGACTCTAACCTGGCTATATCCTTCCTGTAACAAGGAACAAAACTGAATACAATACTTCAGTTGTTGGCTCACCAGAGTTGCATAGAGTGGTAGTAATACCTCTCTCGATCTAGAAGCCACGCTTCTGGCTATTCAACCAAGGGTGATGTTTACCCTCTTGACCACCGCATCACACTGCTGACTCATGTTTAGCCTGCAGTCAGCCAGCACCCCGAGGTCACTTTCACAAGTGCCACTTGTCCCCTAACCTGTACTTATGACACCCATTTCTATGCCCCAAGTGCAAGACCTTGCACTTATCCACATTGAACACCATCCTGTTTGTAGTGTCTCAGTAAATTACAAGCCAGACAAAGTTTTCAGAAGACAGCTGAAACTCATCAGTTCCTGCCTCTAAACTTTATGTGGAAGGTGAGCACTGCTATTGGACATGACATTACACAGTGACATTCTGTTGGTCATGGAATGACCAATAAGCCCTCCTTCAAAGATCTCAGAGGTCAGCTGGGCATAACTTGGAAATGGTGGCATGTTAAGTGCCTTGCACCTGAGTTATTTAGGGCTTCATAGGTCAACATAGCTCAGTAGCTAATGAGCAGCCACTGCAGTTCTTTTAATGAAGGTGTAATAGCTAAAGAGCTGAATGGCACACTGGGCATCTAGCTGCAAATTCCAAACCAGATGCAAAGGTAACCCTACATACAGTTCATTACAGCTGTCCATCAGGAGGTCATCAGCACATGAAACACAGTGGCTAGACTGTCCCTATCCAGGAACAGGCATAGATGTCATACCAACTTATTATGGTAACAGGCACCCTAGGCCACTAAAGTTATCTGTGCTTCCAGTGATAAAGGTGAATCCAGGTGCAGGAACACCCCCAGACCAAGTATATACTCTTCCAGAGGGAGTACAATCCTGTCCGGAAGAGGTCAAACTCCTAGGTACAGAAGCCCCCAAACCATACTCTGTCAGTCTGTCGTTTCAGTGTATTAGCCTTCAATCATCCTATGAGTGCATCCATACAGTGGTTAAGAATATATGTCCTCTGCTGACACAAATGTAGAGATAGAAAGTATAGTCAGAGGTATAGTCAGCACAGTGATGACACCTTCCCCAAATCTAGTTGCTTCATATAGAAGTTAGGTAGGGTTGGAAATAAAATACTGCCTTCTGGCGTTGCACATTCAATATGAGGGAGCCAAGACTCAGTCATGTAATGTTCTTCTCTAGATCTTAGCCCATAAATTTGAGCCAGGTCATCATAAATAGTGCCTCTACTTCACAGAGATAGTCTGGAGACTAATGGCAAAGATTATCAAAAGCTGCTAAGGGACTGAAAAATGGCTGTTCCTTATCTGAAGGTCATTCATCAAAATAAGCAAGGTCATTTCTGTCATGAAACCATACCTGGACACAGAATAGATCAAGGTGGTGATTTTCTTTAGCAGTAGGAACCCCTATAGCTAAAACACCATTATTTTCTCATAAGTGTTTTCCCAAAAGGGGACACATTTGTATAGATGATTATTAGTATGCATCTTAGGATCTAGGAAGGCATTTTCTGAGGAATGGGTGCGCCACTGCACTCTTCAAAGCAGCAGGGACAACTTTATCATTCAGTGTATTTCTCTAGGCCATCTAGTCAGCTGCCCCTGCTCACACCTAGCACAAAGATGCCATAATGGGCAAGGATTAAGAGCCTCTGGTGGTTCAAACTGATGAAAGCATTTTTTCCACATCTTCAGGCTTCAGAAAACAGAAACTAATCCTACAGGACATGTGTAGATATCAGGAATGTAAGTCTCATCATGAGGTTGAGCAAATAGTATAATAATGCATAATTGCACCTATTATATGTAACAGACATTGTATCAAGATGACATGCAAATCTGTAAGTGGACAAAAGGAGAAAAATAAGTGTATAAAGAAAGATATACTGGACCAGGTCATCTAGTCTAACATTCTGTTCACACAATAGTGAGCACAGTGGCTGCTTGCAGGATCCCTCACACAGAATATGAGTACAATGGTCCTTTCCTGCCCCAGTCCTCCAGCAGCAAACATACATACATAGGCATACTGCCTCTAAATACTGGAAGTAGCATATAGCCATCAAGACCCATAACCACTGATAGCTTTCATGAATTTTCCATGAATTTGGGCAGTCTCCTTTTAAAGCTACCCAAATTGGTGGATTTAAACAGTCTCGTGGGGTTGTCTCTTTACAGTTAGTCCACTGGACAAATGTGGGCTTGCATGAACTGTCACCTTTCACTTGTTGTGGAGCATATTCATCCTAAAAACACAAGCATCTGCCTCTCCCTAGTTTGTCTAATTTGACACTATAACCTGCAAGTTAGAAAACGACTGCAAGTTTGCATATAGGCAAAAATGTTCCTTTTTTAATGTTGCAGGAGTGATATGTACTATGTACTGGGACATACCACAAAACGTATAGCTAACTTATTGTAGGAAAGAGTACTGTGTAAATGGTTTGATCAGTTGTATGATCTGTAAATTTGGAATTGTGCAGGGAGCACAAGCACAGATGGTTTTGATGAGTTTTTGCAGTTTTGGGGCATATTGCACAGGGTTTAGAACGCTGACTTATTTTTTTTTCCTTTTTGCAGATTACCACAAGGGAAGATACACATTCAAAGCAGGCAACAACTATCAAGACCGAGCTGGAGCCTGAAGCATTTCGGCCAAATCTTAGTGAACCCAGTGAATTGCTGCAAGTAGAGCAAATAGAAAAGGTATGAAAAAGGAAAAATAAAGCATTCCTCATAATGCTAGAAGTTTCGCTTTGTATTAAAGAGTGTTGGTGAAGGAAACTAAACTGTAATGGCAACCCTAATCCTTTTCTTGAAGGTCTGGTATGTGCAAATGAGCAAAAAACAATAAAACTTCCCCTTGCACCCAATTTGTTAATGTGATAGTTCACTGTGAAGCGAGTTACTTTTGGCTCCACAATGCTTTGATATGGTTTCAGCATGCTGTATTCTTATTCGTTTTGCTTGTATGTTCATTTCTATATGTCTAAGTCACAAAAGCTGTGAGGGCATGAGCATCTGCCCCCAAATGAATTGCAGAATGTTCTCAACTTGTTTCCTTCTCTTGCCTGCAGATAAGGAATTACTTATCACTAATTATCTCCCCTTTAGCATATTGCCACAAATAGCTTATAACTGCTCAGAGTTATCAGCAAGAGAGACTGTCATGTTTGAATGGGAATTGACATGAAAATACCAAGGACTAGATCCTGAATTAGTCATTTCTCAGAGTATAGCCATGGAAATCAATGAGATTTAAGTTGATCATTAAGAGTTAAGTTGATTTAAGTTGGTACCATTAATCTCAGTGTATCGACTGTAAGCATTATTAACTCATGATTCATGCCAAATTTAGGATTATTCTGAATTCCTTTGCTCTTATTAACCTTTATTAGAAAAGCTAAAAATCCTGTGTAGCAAAAATGCCTGGGGAGTGGGCATTTAGCCTGACAGAGTACAGGAATCTTACTTCCTTAGTAGGAAGTAAATCTTAGTGTCTTCTATGGACTTAACTTAGATCCAGGTAGTTAGTGAAAAATGCAATCCCTTCTTTTCTTTTTAAATTTAATATTAGAAACACTGGTATAAAGTTTCTTAGGGTAGCTATAAGATTAAGGACAGTACCCAACAAGCTCTCAATGATTCTGTTGGTCAAGTGGGATCCAAGGGAGAGATTTAGTACTAGGTTGGAAGGAGATGAGCTGGAATAAATTGAGAAACTAATTTCTGGTTGGCAAAGCTCCCATATACAGTTCCGTTGAACCTGTCCAGAAACAAGCATTTTCATTCATTTCCATTTATCCCCAGAAGTACTGAATATCTATTTGAAAAGCAGTGAAAGAGAATCAGTAGGAACGTAAGCCCCACATTGGAAACTGTTCTCAATCCTCAAGGAATGGATTACAGATGTTCAGAAGAAAGATGAGAGGAAAGTCTTGTCCCTTTTTGCTTGACTGAATAGTTTCATCTCAAAGCTCTAAAAGCTCAGCAGCTTAACCCATTTATTCAATATGCATGAATTGATTTGCAATTCTTTTTTAATAGTTAACAAAACACCTTCCACCTCGGACTATTGGGTATCCATGGACCCTTGTCTACAGTACTGCAAAGCATGGCATGAGCTTAAAGACTTTGTACAGAACCATGATGGGGTTGGACACTCCAGTGCTAATGGTTATCAAGGACAGCGATGGGCAGGTATGGAATTAAGACTCATCACCTTTTTCTGTTCTCCTTGAAACTCCTAGATTAAGGTTTCTTTATTTAGCCATGTTACTACATGAGACCTTTACCACAGAGAAGGACAATTAACCAATAGAGGAAGTTGTTTCTCTCCTTGTCTTCAATGAATTGATTCTGGGGAAAAAAGCCGCTAGAGTGTCCTTGAAGGTCTCATGTTCTAAGATCCTAGATTGATATTTCTTTGGGAGAAATTCAGAACTTTCACTTGTCAGAACATTGCTTTCATGTGGCTGCTCTCAATAGAAAAATCAATCCAAGCCATCAGTATAGGACCCCTATATTGAAGCCCACTTCAAGGCTTACAATAACACAAAAGTCCTGTAGCACCTTAAAAAAACTGGCATTTATTGTTGTAAAGGAAGTATGATTCAAGTTCTGAAAATACTGAACTGTGAACTCTAATAGGCAAGATTGTGTTTCTTCAGATGAAGCCACCATAATAAATGTATTGCCTTTAAAATGCAACAACACAGACAGCTCATTGCTGAAAGCCTGAATGCATGTTACATCAGTGTGATGGTTATTAATGTGATATTTGATGTTTCATCAGTTGCAGCAAAAAGCTAATGATAGTCACAGGGTGAATTAGTTTAAATGAAGGCCATTTTAAATCATTTAGTTCAGGTTTCCCACAGATGTTGCTCCATATATTTATGAAATACTGGTGCAGACTAACCACCAAGCCTTGTTGTTTTACTACTAAATTGCATATGTATTATTTACATCATTTCACTCCAACAACGAGGCCTTGCATCTCTTGTACTGTACACATTTTGCGTATTTTTCTATCTAGGGGAAAATCTTGGTATCAGTATAAGATATGTTTACTACAGAAATTTGGTTATTTAGAGACTTATTTCCTTCAGTGGCTTCATGTTCAAGCTCAAAGGTGTTTAAGTGATACATTATGTGTTTTTGTAGAAGATTTTGCATATGTTAAATCTATCTCAGGTCCAGGGCATACCTTATTCAAAAGTGAAAAAATCAGTCTGAGAAATAGTTACTAGCAAATAGTTGTTATAAAATACTTTGTTGACATGTTAAAAAAGGAGAAACTGATCAGTTTGTCACAGACTTCTTGCCTTTTGGTAAATTTTAGAATAACTTCTTTTCTACTTTTAGGAAAACAGTAATTTCTACTTTCCTAATGGCATTAGCTAAATTTCATGAGTAATTTTACTCATGGCTTGTATTATGTTACATAAATAATGTTGCATTAGCACATGCAATCCAGTCTCTGTTGAGAAGTCTGAAGTTGCCCAATGACAGAAAAGATTGCTTTGAAGAAGTTTAATTGTTAGAGTGTTTGAGTCAGCATTTTATCCTTGGTTTGGTAAACAGACAATTCTATAAAAACTGGAATTCACTATTATAGGATATTGTCTTTAGGCTAAGTTTATTTCTTATTAATTTTTCTGATTTACGTTTAATTTTTCCACTTTTACTTTTGTAATGCTTTGGATATTTCAACTGTTACATTGCAGTGGACTATAATTAATAAAAATGAACTGAATTTAATGAAAAGTTCTATTAATTTTTAATCATTATTTTTATCCATCCTACCCAATGTTTTTACCAGGTTTAAAGTGTGAATCTCTGTAGTTCATAGTGATTACCTCAAATACAAGGCCAGGTATTAAAACCCCAAAAGCTTTCTACAGCTGAGATGTTAAACCAATAGGGAAAATGAGTAGGTGCAGTGTGTCTGTTTCTCTGGTTTTGCTTTCTCCTGGTGTGTGTGTGTGTGTGTGTGTGTGTGAGAGAGAGAGAGAGAACTATAGAACTGCCATCTCAGAATTAAACTGTTGTGATTTATGGTGCTGTGCTTTGTCACTTGTACGTTCTAGTGTGAAGGCCAGAAGTCATGAAACAAACCACTTATAGGAAGGCAATCATAGTGAGTTGGAAGTGGAAGGGCCAGTCACAGATGTGTAGAATAAGGATTGGTATGATCTTAACAAAGCAAGAGTGACCAACCTGTGTCCCTCCACATACCAAAACTCCATCAGCCCTAGCTAACTTAGCCAGTGGTGAGGAACGGTAGGAGCTGTAGTCTTCCAGATGTTCTGGTCTGCAAGTTGATGACGGCTGTTCTAGTGTGCTTTCAAGCAGGTGTTTCCTCAGACTTACCTGTATGAATGACAAATACAGCTGAATCAGCAGGGTTGATAAAAGCAAGCTGGACAGACTACTTATTCTGGTCTGATAATCCCTAACCTAAATGTGGAAACAACTTTCACCCAGATACTAGTAATGGCAGCTAGTCATTGTTGCCCTGGGTAGTATCACTTTTTTCAATTATTTTTAAGCGTATACTTTGGTTACTGGAAAAGCCTCTAATAATACAACCCCACAAAGACATGTCATTAAATATCTTGCTTATGGTAATAAATTCCAGGTGACATTGGTTCTTCTTTGTGGCCTCTGTGCATCACACATATGGGTTCTGTGCCTGCGCAGTGCCTTTGGCTGGAAGATTAACAGCTAATGGTTTTTGGCAGGAACTCCGCTCCCCCTCCCCCCTAGCATTATATAAGGAGCGAAGTGTCCGCCATTTTCCAGTCTTTGCGACCGCCGTTCATTGTGCCTCGTGCCGCTTCACTCTTGCTAAGATTATTACTTACCTTCTTGCTCGTTCAAAAATCTCTCCTTTTTCCTACCAAGTTTGTATCCCTTGTTCTTGTTGTTAGTACTTCACTTATATTTCTTCTTAACTTTGTACCATTTTTTCTTCTTTATCGTTCCTATAAAAAAAAAAACCAAAAATATTACTTTCCTGCTTTACGATCTCCTTTTTTCTTCTTTCTACGATGGCGCAACGGGTGGTGTTCAGCAAGTGCAGAAAATGTGGCTCCAAAATGCCCGCCGCGCACCCGCATGATCTGTGCCTCCTTTGTTTGGGGAAAGGGCACAGAACCGATAAGTGTGGCCATTGTTTGGCCTTCTCTAAACAGGCGAGGAAGAACAGGGAGAACCGCCTCCGCAAACTCTTATGGGACCAGGCTCTCTTCCAATTGGACCGGCTGGTGGCTAAGCCTTCCACTGTTGTGGCCCCCCCCAAAGGCCGTCCAACTTCGGCTGACCTGCTGCAACGCCCGGCCTCTTCCTCCATTGCTCCGCCCTCATGCCCTTCTGAAGAAGGCACTCATACCATGGCCGACCAGTCTGTTTCCCTACTGAGGAAACAAAAGGAAAAAAGAAAGCACAGCGACTCAGATAAATATCCTGTGCATAAGAAGGCCAAGAAAGATAAGACGAGCAAGCCGCTTAAGAAGCCGAAGAACCCCGAGCAGGCAAAACACCACCACTCGGGCTCGGCCTCTTCCTCGATTCTGATCCCTGCTTTGGAACCGACCCCCTCGGTCCCGACCATCCAGGCGGCTATGAGGGTTACCCCACCGGGCTCACTGCGCCGACCGACAGCCGAACCCATTCTGGATTCAAGGCGTGGTTCCATCTCTGATGGGGAAATACGAGATCCTCCACCTAGAGCTTGATCACCAACCCCGATGCCTCCAATCCCGATGGATACTGAGATTGCCATCTCCCCTCCGAGAAGCCGTAGGAGCCGTTCCTCGGATGCAAGGTCTGATGATTGGTACCACTCCAGGTACTCCTCCGCTCCGAGACGGGAAGAGTACCACTCCGTAGCCTATTGTCCGACCTCCAGGGGACAATCTTCGCCACCAGCACCTCGGGAACGTTTCCATTCAATGCCCAGAGATGCCCTGAGGGCCCCATCTAAAGAAAGTGGCAGATCAGAGTCACCAGGAGATTCTTCCTCCAGTGTACCACCCCCCTACTGGATGGAATCCGACGAGTCTGAGGCTGACTCGACCTCACCGGATGCAGCGGTTGCTTCTCAGGGCCCAGGGTCGCCCGAGGAACCATATATATCGTTTAACGATCTGATGGCCAAACTAGTGAGATCGCTCGATATAGAAGTCCACCAACAGCGGGGACCGAGCACCGATCATTTTTATGATGTGGTCAGGGGCGAATCATTCACATCTATTGCCTTGCCGTTTATTACGACCTTACGACAGGCAATGACCCAGCCATGGGACCTCCCAGCTCACCCACAACCGACTTCTCGTAAATACGAGTCCATGTATCGGGTGCGGGAAGAGGACATCCCGTTTCTTCTCCGTCACCCCAAGCCGAATTCGGATGTTGTAGAATCCTCACAGGGTCGGGAAGCCCGTGGACACACCTTGCCTCGTGACAAAGTGGGCAGAAAGGTTGATCCCCTTGCCCGCCGGGTATACGCAGCTTCGGGCCTTGGTTTACGAATTTCTAATTATGAGGCAACCATGGCGCATTACCAGTATTTCCTTATGCAACGCCTGGACGCCATCATCGATACCCTCCCGGGAAACCAGGGCAAACTTGCCAAGACTTTTGTTAAGGAAGCTATGCAAGTGGCGGTGCAACAGCTTTCCACCGCGAGGCACCACATGGACTCTGATTTGAGGTTGCTGGTCGGTGCCATTTCCCTCCGCAGACACGCCTGGTTGCGTAATTGCAATTTTCCGGACGAGATGAAGCGGAGAATTGAGATGCCGTTCGACAGTTCCGGTCTCTTCCATGCGAGAACGGATAGCAAATTGATGAAAATCCATGAATCAAGGATGACGGCCCGTTGTATGGAATTGCAGTCTCTACCCCGACGTAAGTGGTCATGGTCACGTCCACAGTACCGTCAACAATTTCCACCTCGGCAACAGCAACCGCATCAACGTCAGCAGCATCGCAGGCAATAACCACCCCAGCGCTTCCAACAGGGCCGCCGCCGCTTTGATACGGACAGGCGACAGCGCTGATGTGACGAGCGAACCTCTCCTCTCATTCCAACTCTACCCTCCCCCCTCTCATTTGGGGATCGACTGAAGAGTCGGCTCTCCATTTGGGAGTCCATCATATCACATCTGATGGGTGGGTGTTATCTATCATTCAGCATGGATATGGAATCGAATTCGACGTTGTGCCATCACCGAATGCTATCCGCTATACTCCTTGGTACTGTTAGACGAGATTCACCAACTCCTTGCTAAAGGAGCTATTCGTCGCCTGTCATTATCGGAGGGATTCCACGGGTTCTATTCCAGATACTTTATGGTCCTGAAACGAGATGGGGGTCTCAGACCAATATTGGACTTGAGAGCTCTCAATAGATTCATAACACCAAAGAAGTTTCAGATGACCACACTTCAAAGTATTCTCCCGTTGCTGGGAAGAGGGGATTGGTTCACCTCATTGGATCTGAAGGATGCCTATTTTCATATTTCAATACACCCAAGTTATAGGCGTTTCCTTTGTTTTGCGGTGGACTCTGAAATCTGTGAATTCAATGTGCTACCGTTTGGATTAGCCACTGCACCACGGGTTTTTACAAAGTGTATGGCTCCTGTCTGTGCACACCTTCGATTACGTGGAATTCGGATATACCCGTACCTTGATGATTGGTTGCTGGTCTCCGACACAGAAGCAGGACTTTCGTCTGCTGTTGAGTTTACATGTGCTCTATTGCACGATCTTGGACTCTGTATTAATCAACAGAAATCTTCCCTTCTCCCTACGCAGGTGATCAACTTTATCGGAGCCCGGCTGGATTTGACGTTGGCAACAGCCTTCCTTCCTCGGGACAGACGGCATGTGATTGCTCAGTACATCTCTCGGATTCGACAAGCAAGAACCGTCCCCGCCCAGTCTATTCAGAGCCTGTTGGGACACATGTCTGCTTCCATTGCTGTGGTTCCGCTTGCCAAACTCAGGCTATGTCCCCTTCAACTGTTCTTCAACGGAATGTTTCGACCACAGACAGATCCACCTACCAAATGGATTCGACTCCCGGCTTCCGTTCTTCAGTCCCTGTTATGGTGGATAGACCCAGCCAATCTGACTGTAGGCGTTCCGTTTCCACCCTGGTACCCTACAGTAACCCTCGGCACCGATGCGTCCCTGCTGGGATGGGAAACAATTTGCTCCGATCTGTGTACCCAGGGGATATGGAGTCACCGGGATTGCAGGAACCATATCAGTTTTCTGGAACTTCCTGCCATTTTCAAAGCCCTGCAATCATTCGAGGATGTGCTTCTACACCAGGTCGTCCAGGTGACCTCAGACAACATGGCGACGGTCTTTTATTTGAACAAACAAGGGGGAACCCAATCCCGGAAACTAGCCCGCCTGGCCATGCAGATTTGGGACTGGTGCATACTGAGAGGTATCACTCTTCTAGCAGTTCACCTTGCGGGCACAGAAAATACAGACGCGGATCTCTTGAGCAGACATATGTTGCGGTCACACAAATGGGAGCTAGACCATCGGGTTTGCGACATGCTATTTCACCGATGGGGCCAGCCAGACATCGACCTGTTTGCCACACAACAGAACAGGGCATGCACGGCCTATTGTTCCAGAGTGGGGATGGGTCAGGACTCGCTGGGGACACTTTCATGATCCCCTGGACAAATATGACTTGTTATGCTTTCCCTCCGATCCCACTCATCATGAGAGTGTTGGCAAATATCATTCACGAAGGGGCCACAGGGGTACTGATCACCCCCTGGTGGCCACGGCAGCCATGGTTCTCAACTCTCCTTCACGTCTCCCAAGAAGAATTTCTCCAACTTCCTCTTCTTCCTTATCTCGTTACCCAGAGGGAGGGCACGATCCGCCACCCAGACTTGCTGTTGCTGAAACTGACTGCATGGAGGATACGATGACCAGCTGCAATGCACTGGTATTAACGCCACCAACCATCCCTGCCATTCCTGCTCAGCAGAGTCTACACCCAGACCTACAGTATATTCTCGTATATGCGCTATGACCATCTACTAGGAAGTCGTACGCGGCAAAATGGCAGAGATTCTCTAACTTTGCCAATTTACACTTGTTTCCGGCCCCCTCGGCTTCTGTTTCGCAGATACTTCAGTTTCTCTTTGAATTGCATCAGTCTGGAGTCAAACCTTCGTCCATAAAAGTTTATACAGCAGCGATTTCACATTACTGGGGAACTATACATGGTCTCTCCATTTTTGCTCAACCTCTGATTAAAAGATTTTTGAGAGGATTGAGTAATCTGCATCCAACTATAAAACCTCTAATGCCCACCTGGAGTCTTTCAGTGGTTTTACAAGCGCTGACTCGATCACCTTTCGAACCCATGGCGACGATCGATCTGTGCCTTGCTTCATGGAAGACTTCCTTCCTTGTTGCAGTGACTTCAGACCGTAGATCCTCTGAACTCTGCGCCCTTCGGGTAGACCCCCCTTTTCTAAATTTTCATAAGGAAAAAGTGGTTCTTCGGCTGGATCCGTCTTTCCTTCCGAAAGTCGCTGCTTCGTTTCACATGCAACAGGAGATCGTTGTACCGGCATTCTTTCTGACCCCTTCAAATCCGATAGAGCGATCTCTACATATGCTGGACGTTCGTTGTTGCTTAGCCTTTTATAGGTCCAGGACTGAGTCTGTTTGGCATTCCAATAGACTTTTTGTGAAATATTCGGAACATGACCGAGGCTGTCCAGTCACTTCACAACGTCTTTCGAAATGGATAGTAAATACAATTGTCCTGTCCTATCAGTTAACTAAGTTGGACTTGCCATCTACTCCAAGAGGTCATTCTACAAGAGCTGTTGCTGCTTCTTCGGCCTTTGCATCAGGGGTCCCGATAGAAGATGTGTGCAGGGCGGCCATTTGGGCTATCCCATGTACCTTCGCCAGACGTTATAGACTCGATGTCCATGCCAGGCAGGATTGCTCTTTTGGCAGAGCTGTCCTTTCTTCTGTCCTTCGCTGATGACACCTCCCTCCTCCATTTGGGGTAAGCTTGTTATTCTACCCATGTGTGTGATGCACAGAGGCCACGACGAAGAAGAGCAGGTTGCTTACCTGTAACTGATGTTCTTCAAGTGGCCATCTGTGCAGTCACACAACCCACCCTCCGACCCCGCTTGGTGTCATGGGTGGTCCGACTATTTCTTTCCATACTATGATCTCTTTGCTATGTGTCGTACCACTACTGAATTTGGCTATCTTGTCATACTGACAAACCTTATTATAAGAACAAACGTCGGTCTTTCAAAGACTGGAAAATGGCGGACACTCTGCTCCTTATATAATGCTAGGGGGGAGGGGGAGCAGAGTTCCCGCCAAAAACCGTTAGCTGTTGATCTTCTGGCCAAAAGGCACTGCGCAGGCGCAGAACCCATATGTGTGACTGCACAGATGGCCACTCAAAGAACATCAGTTACAGGTGAGCAACCTGCTCTTACTTTATTTTGAAATGTCATCATGTTGTGCCTTTAGATTCTTTATAGGCTTCTATGGCGTGAGGGGAGCCATCTTGTCAAAAATGGCTGGGCGTAAGCAAAGTACACCCTCCATCAAGGAACCTTGGGCAACAGAGCTTTTGTTGAGCAGTTGACTTTGCTCGTGCCTAGATGATTTTGTGCAAAGGGGCTTTTCCAAGGAAATATATGAAGAAGCTGCTTCAGTCTGTTATATGAGAATCTGAGGCAGAGATAGAGCTCAAGAGAGAGGAGTCAGAGAAAGAGGGATGAGAAAAAAGGCGAGGGAGGGAGAGTAGTGCATGTACAGGGTACATATTTATGCTCTGCATGCACACACACACGCAAGGGGACACGCTTCACATCTTTGTAGTTGGCCTTTAACGCTCTAGAACATACAGTTTTTCAAGTTGGTGGTGTCAAGGACATTTTTTCAAAATGGAAAATGTGCCCATGGGGACAACAAGTTTGGGGACCCCTGAGTTAAAGAATGGGTAGAAATAAATTACATCAACATACATGATCCTCCAGTTTTCATATTCATGAGATACAGCTGAAACAGATTTCCGGTATGTTGTGCGTAAGGGTAGAAATGACATGATAACCAGGTCATTTTTATTCTTTTTTCTAGATCTTTGGTGCATTAGCATCAGAGCCCTTTAAAGTGAGTGATGGCTTTTATGGCACTGGAGAAACCTTTCTTTTTACTTTCTGTCCAGATTTTGAGGTAAGGACTTAAAAGGATGATTGCTATAAGATGGCATCACAGTTTCTTGTGAAATGTAATCCATTTAAATGGGTGTTGATGGATTCAATCCCATCTATGAAAAAAGTTAACTTTTTGTGAATGAAATCTCATCTTTCTTTAGTTTGTCTTTTGATTTTAATGAAAGTATTCTTTCTGCTTGTGAACAGAACAGGGAATTCTAACAATAGTGCTGTTCTAGAAAAAATATGCTAAGGAATAGTAATAAATGTAGCAAAATTCTTATTAATAGTGCCCTTTAAAGTAAGATCATTCTTACGCATGTCACATCTCACGTGCTTACATGAGCACACGGCCATCCCAGGTCAGTACCTCAGTTTGTATGTAAGTGTAAAAATAAATAAAAGTATATGTATAAACACTTAAATTCACCAGGTATTGATTTATAATGGCTATGTAGCCAAAATGGCTACTAAGAAATAGGAAGGGAGATGGCCTGCTGTTGGAGTGAACTTCAGTGTTTGTATAACTAAAATACAGTCATTAGGACATGGACACACAGCCCAGGGGGAAAAAATCCCTCAGTGAAGACTGAATGCGCTGACCGGGTTCACACATAATGAGAAGCCACCCTGGTTTTATGTCCCTGCAGGGCTTCTTGTTGTGAATATTTGAACCATAGTGGGGACAAAAGAGCATGTCATTATGTGCAACCCTGACAAGGCGGGCTGTTGTAGTGATTGGCCCCAGCCATGAATTGTTTTAGGGCTGCAGGTAAACGCATTATTTTAAGGGTTCTGCCTATTTTAGCTGGATAAAAATAGAAAAACTCAGGAGCGGGGAATAGAAACAAATATATTTCTTAAAAGAAGCATGTTGACTGTTTGGAGCACTGAACAAGAACACAGTTTGCATCAACTATCTGTTGCATGTCCTGCCAGTCAAATAGGTTCCCTAGTTCTGTCTCAACCAAAAATTAGTGGTGCTTTTTGATGGGGGGTGGGGAGGGTTCTGTGTTTTGTGAGAGTAACAGGCTCTCTCCCTCTGTTTTACACTAGATCTTTAAGTGGACTGGAGACAATATGTTTTTTCTTAAAGGAGACATGGATGCCCTAGCTTTTGGTGGTGGAGGGTAAGTAAATGTGTGCTGTTAGTGATAATTGTAGTATCTATAATTCCTGAAGGAATAATAAATGCAGTTCTTATACAGTAGACTCTCGACTATCCGGCTTGCGACTATCCGGCCTAGTTAAAAAATAACTATCAATGAACAGTAAAATAAGTTTAAATAATTTTTGTAAGAATTAAGCCTATGTTTTACTTTAATGTTTTGTTTATTTTAAAAGTGTATGTATTCATACTGTACAGTGTACATGATTTTATGTTTCCTGCAATTAAGTTAGACATTATAAAATTTATCTTAAAATGTGTACAATAATTTTATCCTTAGACTGCCTTTTTCTGTAATAATTTTTTAAAATGTACAGTACAATACATGAACATTTATAAAGTACTGGCCTGTACTAAGAGGTCAGAAAATATGAATAAGAGCGGGTTTTGGTATAAAAAAGGTGTTTTTAATGGTATGGGTGGGGTAGGAAATGAGCATTTATAGAACTCCAGCCTATCTGGCCTGCCCTTCCGCCACATTAGGCCGGATAGTTGGGAGTCTACTGTAGTATTATTTAGGTTTTCTTTTTGAAGTGGTGTACATTCCTGTAGCAAGGAACCAAAGGTGCCTTACTTGGTCACCTTCTTCTCCATTTTATCCTGACAGCAACCTGTGTAATGTTGTTGTTCAAAACTTGTTGGGCATTCACAGATTTTTCTTCTTGACAGCCTCGAAATAATTTTCAAGATTTTCAACCTTATTTTTTCTAGACAGATCTAAAGGTGGGATATAAACGCAGTGTAACAGCAGCAGCTTCAACTTAAAAAAAAAAAATCAGATCATATTTCAAACAGCTGCCAGTTCTGTGCCTCTTTGTACTCTACGTCCCATCCCATCAGCACACAGTGTGAACTAAAGCAATAGAAGTATTCCTTTTCTATGAACAAAAGGTCCTGAGTCAGGAGGACATGAGTACACTAAGGGAGGGAGGTGAAGAAACTGAAAAATTGAGAGAGGCAAAAGGAATACTTGTAAGAATTAATTGTTATCAATTAATGCCATGGATATTGACATGTTTTAGTTAATTTCTTTTTAGAGACATTAACTATAAGCTAGTTTGCCACTCTAAACTGCTAGCTGTTTCTTAAATTTTACTTATCCTACCATAGGACTTGCTAATCTCCAGGTTTCCAAGTTGTGGAACCATACAACAACCATTTACTTAATACAGTCATCTGTGTTTTACCCAGTGCTGAAAGAACACATTTCTATACTTGATCAAAACTGTAAGGGTAGCAGGGAAATGGTAGGTTTCTGGAAAAACAATATGTATAGCCAACTAACAAGTGATTACTAAAAAAATCCCAAAGTAAGTTAACTCTTGCTGGATGACCATACTGGATGGTCTTCTGTATTCACCCTGTCTTAGCCTGTATTCTGGATTTCCTTTCCAACTGCTTCATTATCCTGATGCAAAGGCCTGGAGCTCTTCAGTCTGTTTTCTCATAACTTTTAGCCTCCCACCTTCCGCACTGTGAATCAAAATGAAAGGCAATATGTTATAATGGTTAGTGTGTTGAACCAGGATGTGGGAGCTTGGCTTCTGGTCCCCACTCACCTATGAAGGTCAGTGGGTAATTTTTGGACCAATCACTGCCTGTTAGCTAACCTACTTCACAGGACTGTTATTTGGATAAAATGGAGAGGAGGGCAATAAAGAGCAAACAAACAAGTGAGTAACTGATCCTGACGATAGTATGAGTGCAATCTCATAAACCCACCAGTAAGAACTGGAGAAATGCAGCAGGGTTGAAATACTTAGCATATACTTTTCATGGGCAAAACGTGAGAATGGCTACTATCTAAAAAGTACCCTTTTGTTTTTCTAGTCATTTTTAGTATGCCTCTTAGTGTACCAGTCCCTGGGAGCAAGAAAGGCTCAATTTTATCTCTTTGCATCCAGAAGTTGGCAGTGATGATAAGGTGGAAGAATAGGCAGAAGGTAGATCTGTATCCAGGTACAGTTAGATCTCTGGGTGATTTGCAGTAGATCAGCAGTAGACATAATTTTGTGAGAGGTTGCAGAATAACAACAATGAACCCTCATCTGTTTCAAATTATACTGCTGAAATAAAGAAAGCCAGCAGTATCCAGACTTAAAGGTTTGAATTGTTCATTGCAAGGAAAGAATACCCAAAAAATGATATTGTTTGTAAATGCAGCAACAAGTTAAGTGCAAAGATGGGAAGGAAACAGAATGTTGTCTTCCATTCCAATTATAGATGCTTTTAATGTGGAGGGATAACTTTCTAACTGGTGGCAAACTAATTCTTTGTACATATTGCAGGGGTGAATTTGCACTGTGGCTGGATGGTGATCTCTACCATGGAAGAAGTCATTCTTGTAAAACATTTGGAAATCACACTCTTTCTAAGAAAGAAGACTTCATTATACAAGACATTGAAATTTGGGGCTTTGAATAAATATTAACTGCTACTACAAAAGGTTGTCCCAAACCTGACACTGATCAGTTCAGCTCAGAAAGCCCTTGAAGCAATATAATGCAGCATACTTTCAAATGCCTTTTCAAAATTCTCTACATGGCCATCTAAATACCTTTTACATAAAACTGCGGTATTGGAATGGGAGGTGCCTGTTTATGTTCTTGTTCATATTTTGAAAGTTGTAGCATTCTCATCATATTCAAAAATTTGCATTGTGGAGTTCTCAGTTGCCATGTGGCTCACACTCCTCTTGTTCCCCCTTAAACCCACTCCAACAATTTCTCACACTTCCTTTTTGGTTACTTCATTTGGACAACATTTAAATCACACAGATCCTGATGGAGCATTTGCCTAAATAGAGGACAAATGGAGATTTGAGAATGTGTTAGCAATGATTAGTTTGTGCTGTTCCTACCAGTCATATAGTGCCACTTACTAGAAAAAAGTATTCATCCCCAGTCAGTGGTGCTGTTTCTTTGTTCACATGTAGAGAATTCATCTGTTGTGTTTTACAGTCCAACCTTGGCTGCCCTATTGATTGTATTGAAATATTTTGCACATGCTGTTAAATGATCTTCAGGCTTGGGACAAATGTTGGGCAAGGACTGAGCTACGTGGTCAAGATATATAGCAATGGGAAACTGGACAAAGCACGCCTAATACAGTGGGTAATATATAGCTATAGCAGGGCATTATATGTACTGAGACTATGAAACAGATGCATTTTTTCCAAACAGCGTAAGAAGTGTCTGATATATATACTGTTTTATAGTTCTTCTGTTGTAGCCTTGTAGCACATCATCTCCAAGAATTGCTCCTGCCCACAAGAGAAAAAATATAGGTGTGGTGTTTTCTCTTCTTTTGAGTGGATCTATGTTGTAAACTGCAGTTAGCACCAGCTCTGATGCAATGGGGTAATGTACTGTAGATAGACATCGTAACTCAGTAGATGTGTAATATGCAAACTTACTGTTATGTGACCTCAAAACAAAAGCAACAAAAAGTCCAGCTAAAATATAGTAAATCAGTAGCTCTTGTCCACTTTTTTTAGGAAAACTGAAAAGCCATTGTGGCAATAATCATTCAAAAGTTTGTTTCAAAGCTTCTATTCTATGTTTATGCAAAACAAAAACAGAATTAAAAATGCTGTTAAGTGTGACAGTGAATGACTTTGTGCTGGAATCTCAGCTATTCCAGTTGAATATTGTATATATTAACTTGTAAATTAATGTTTAAAAGTAGTTTTTGTTATTTTAGAGAGGAAAAAGTGTTGATTGACGGGTTGCTTCTAGCACTTTAAATTATTCTAGAAATGGAATAAAAAGCCAAAGGGTTTGGCTTAAATAATTAGCTATAGTTGTATAGTATGTTGCGAATACCAAGTTGTTTCAGAAGTTTGACATTTATCAGAAGAATGCTTACTGCTGTGGTAAGGGAAAAGGGGAGGCTCTATCTCTATATAACATGTTCATGCTTCATATGGCTAAATATACAGGGCATCATTTTCTGTCTCAATGTATAGCTCTTTATTCCTATTAGAACAGTACAGTATATGTAGATTCAGTGTTTACAAACAAAAGAAACTGTAAATAAATTAAAATGGCTTTTTCCCCTTTGGTTTTCCACAGCAGTATTAATGTCTTTGTGCATTTAAGACTAATTATAAACAATCCTGTAATGGATTTTAAGTACTATAAAGTAATAGTGATATATAGCAAATAAATCTAAATACATGTAATTAAGTTTGAGTTGAGTTTTATTTAGACATGCACATATTTCCAGATTGAGAGGTATCACCACCAATATTCAGATTAAAATAAATTAGCTGTGACACCTGAAATATTAATAAATTTATTCTGGTATAACCTTGTATGGATACTATCCACTTTAGCAGAGGCAGGGCTAGCCTCAAGTTGGCATATTTATATATGTGGTGGGGAGAGGAGAGATGCAAACTTTTGTCAGGGAACTGAAACTCAGAAAGTGCAGACTGTAATAATTAACCTTACAGTAGCCATTCACAAAACATTATTGGATGATGGAAGACATAAATGCAATGGTGAGCTGATTAAATTATGTGGTGGTGGTGCTTTGTGCCATCAAGTTATCTCCAACTTAGGTTGTCCCCATAAATGTTCTGTCCACAACAGCTCTGCTCAGTTCTTCTAAGTGCAAGGCTGTAGTTTCCTTTATGGATTCAGACCATCTCATATTTGGTCCTCCCTTTCATCTTCTGCCTTTGACTTTCCCTAGCATGATTGTCTTTTCTAATGGGTCTTGCCTTCTCATGATGTGTCCAAATTATGACAGCCTCATTTTTGGCATTTTTCCTTCTAAAGAAATTGGTGGCTTGATTTTGATCTAGGACCTATTCATTTATCTCTCTGTTGGTCCAGTGAGCTTGCAAAGCTCTCCCCCAGCACCATGTTTTGAATGCATCCTTTTTCTTCCTTTCAGCTTTCTTCACTGTCCAGCTTTCACACCCTAAATTATGGTTGCATAATACAATAATATGGGTCATCTTGGCCTTAGTCTCCAGTGAAACATCCTTATCCTTAATGCTGTTTTCCGATTACTTCATTGCTGCCCTTCCAAGTCTGTCATCTTCAAATTTCTTGCTTGCAGTCTTCATTTGAATTGATGACTGAGATGATATAGGTAAAATCTTTCACAATTTCTGTTTCTTCATTGTTAACAGTAAAGTTCTTTGATTCTTCTGTGGTCATGGTTTTTGTTTTCTTAATATGCAGTTTGTTTCTGCAAACACAGGCCTTGGGATTTCTTACCGATTGCAATAGTGTCATTTAAGAGTTTAAATGGCCAAGTATGAATTCATACCCCATTGGGAACCATGCTGGAACATACAGATGATAGACTTGTCAAGGAGTAAATGGTCATAACCGCACAAAATCCTGCTTGAACCTTTATTAGCTTTTCTTTGTGCTCTTATTTAAGCACAAACAGTAGTAGCTCTTGCTTTCTCTTGAACCTAATTTAGTGATCTGCATCAAATATTAGAATGTCTTCAGAAGTTGAATGCTGTGTTGGGGAATGGGGATAATAAAGCTAGCCTGAGTGTCTGTCCTAAAAGTTGATAGAAGGCATGTGAGTTTAAGAAAGTCTCATACTCCTTCCATCTCATTATTTAATCTCAATTTCAGTGTAATAAATCACAATTTATTGGGAGCTGTCCCATTCTCGACCATGAGACCCAGTGTGATGTGTTGGTTAGTAGGCTGGACTGGGGACCTGGAAGATCTGGGTTCTAGTCCCTACTTGACCATGAAGTCATTGAGTGACTTCGGGCCAGTCACTCACTCAGGCTACAGCATTACCATGGTTTGCAAATTTTTACTGTGATCATACCCAACAGACAATGAAATAGTTTCTGTGTTATCATTGTGTCCATCCTCTCAGTTCCACAGAGAACTCTGTTGTAGTTGCATAACATGACTATAGAAACCATGGTCCTGGGTTTAGAAAACATATCAAATCATGATGGTACAGAGAAACTATAGCAAACAGTCGTTTCTTATTTCTAATTGTGATTTCTAAAGATCAAATTAATCACCATAAAATACTATGACTGGGCTCACACAATGTGACAGGCCAAAAGTGCTTAATAAAAAACAACCCATCATAGCTTGTGTTGTCTGAATCCAGCCTGGATCTAACCTACCCCACAGCATTGTTGCTGTGAGGATAAAATGGGGCTATGTAAGCTGTTCTGGGTTCCTCAAAGGAGGAAATTAGGTAGAAAACAAATGCAGTGTAACAAAGCAGTCTTGCTGAACTTGTTTTCCACCCTGTCAAAGCATGAAATCTGCTTAAATAAAGTGCTGAAATTTTAGTACACCTCCACAAGATAATTTAGACCTCACAAATCCCATGAGCAAGGCTGCTAACTTATGCCCCACATTCTTCTCTACAAAGCAGCAAGTGAAAGTTGCTTTCCATCCATTACCAGCTAACTGCATGGGTCAATCTCACCTGACTGAAAAAGGTTCTTCATCCCAGTAGTCATTAAGATAAACTTAATATCTCAATTTGTACTGAAGCAGCAGCAGCTTCTCCCTAATAGAGGTGAACAAGGAGGACCTGATAATCCATAAAGTTCCTGTATTTGATAGGAAGTATCAGTAACGGGATCAGAAGTAAATTTTGGACTGCTAGTTTTAGCAATCTGTAGACATGATCAAATCTAGAGAACTGCTAGTACTAAAACACTTCTTAAATTAATGATTCTCAGATGAAGAACTGAAGAGAGAAAACATGAAGAGAGCAGAAGCATTATCTCAAAATTCAACCCCTCAGTTTCTGAATCCAACAAAAATGCAATTAACTTTCTCATCCAGAGTAGGAATTCCTTTTTATTGCACTTCCTTCATAACTTACTTCAAAACACATTTTGATACTGATTCTAAAAAAGATCCTGGACTGTGCAGAAATGGATAGATTGACTTTATCATTGAAGGAGAAGGAAGATACTTCTATCAAACTTGGGACTCTTTTATTATTGACTAGAGAAATGGGACTTTGCATAGATTTAAATATGTTTTTAAGTTATAAATGGAAAGAGAAGGGTGTGAGGGCTGACCCAGCGGGCTCGATGTTTTTGATGATGGATGTTGTTCGTAGTTTTCTTTTTGTTTTTTTAGGATTATAATTTCAAATAAAACTTATTTTAAAAAAACATTTTGATGGCAAAGTTAATACTGAAGTTGCCGAAGTTTTATTCCAGACCTAATGAATGTAAGACATTTTGTTCTTTATATACAGAATAATTTTACCGGCTCATAACAGCATCATCATAGCAAACGTGTGTACCAGTCTATGGACTGGAACCAACCCTTGAACAGCAGGACTTTCCTCCCCACTCCCTGTAGCTTGATGTGTGCACCCCAAATCTGTTCCAGAGGGTCCTACAACAGATTTTCAGGGTATGAGAAAGCTGTAGGAAAAGACAAGCTGTAGGAAAAGAGACAAACATGTTCCACCAGTAGTTTCCTCAGTCTGGCAGAACTACGACTGTGGCCCATTCTTTTCAAAATATTGAGAGTATTTCCTGTTAAATCAGAATGATACTGTTTTTAATACTGGACTCATACTGTGTTCAGTGTGCCACTCTAATCTTTTTGAATACTTGTGTGGCTCAACAACTCTTGGCATGGATTAATCCTTATAATGACTCAAAATAGTCATAACGTTCTCTTCTTTAAGAAGAGGTGTGATCTTTCAGTTTGAAAGAGCATATTATAAGAAAATAAATCATTTGTTTCAGTAGCTTTCAGCATTATCACTACAATATTGATTGTCAATAAGCTGTTACATTAACTTTTCAAGTCAAGCATTGGCAAATGGTCACGAATACATTATTATAAATATCAAAAGATGGTTAAACACATACAAGAAAGTATATTTTGAAGCATTTGCAATCTGGCATATATTCAAAAAACAATTCTAGAATCTTGACATTACACTGACTACTATTAAGATTAATAATTGAAGAATGTGTATTAAACAGAATTTATATAAGGCTTTTGCTGTTATATATGCCTATATTCAAACATGTAATGCTACTGTATAGTTTATTATACATAGTGTAGGATCTATTTCAAGTACCCTGATATGTTAAAAGACAAGCTATGCCTTACACTTCCAGTTCAAGCACAACTTTCCACTCATGATATTAAAACATGATTAGCAGTACATGAACATTATTTCCATATTTTAATAATAAATTGGTTACTGCAATCCAACTGAAACCAAAAAGTCATCATATATATTGAACGGAAAAAACCACACCTGTAACAATATATGTTAACTTATTCCTTGTAATGCAAGGTTGCTGCTCAGAGTTCTCAATAGTACTGGTGGAGGAACTGCACAAACAAGAATAATACCATGTAGAAATAAAGCAATGGCAGGAAATTCTGACTTTCTAGGTCCTAGACCCTTAGAGAACGTCAATGTCTCGCTTTCTGATAAACTGCACCAGATGACATTGATTCTGCAGTTCACAGAGTGACGGAAGTGGGGTGCTCCGGCTTGTCTCATGAACAGTGTTAGTCCAACAAAGTTATTACCACATGATCATCCCGGCCTTGCCACAACATTTCTCCTTCAAAATCCAACATGCCATGCTTCCTGGCTCTCATGAGTATTCCAACCACTTTATCGGAAATGCGCACATATCTGTCGAAGAGTTCACCAAAAGTGACTTGGATCTTGCCATCTGGGCGGTGCTTAGCCATTGTTCTGATGATAAAGCACATGTCCTTCATCTCCCGGTATATATGGACCTCTGCTCTCTTGGCCCGTTCTGCCGTTTTCGTCCCCTCTTTGGGACGGCCGTAGCCTTCATCTCCTTTGTGCAGGCGTGTTGCCATGGCCATTTCATAATCAAACTCCTCGCTGAAAGGATTGAGCTTTTGCATCGTGATGTGCTCATTGGCCCATTCTTCCCATCGCCCTCTCAGATTGCAAACAGGACTATATTTCTTAGGCGTCTGGATGTTTCTGCTGGAGAAAAACTGCATTTTATTTCAATGAAATTGTTTATCTTCGATTTGGAACAAAGGCCACTAGGTGGCATGTTATCACTAATTATAAGTCCCAGTATTATCATCTGGCATGCTTCCAAGTGTTGTTTTGCTGTGTCTAATCCAGAAGCATCAGTTTTTATTCTGGCTTCCCCTAATTTTTTTCAGTCAAGGGAAAAAATAGCATGTTCCTCCTTATTAGTTTATGAATCACTTCTTTGTTCTATTTTTATTCAGAGGAGCTTTGGGTGGCATGTAGGGATGGTGTTTTCCCATTTTCTGCTTGGAAAAATTCTGTGAGCTAGTATATATTGAAGATAAATGACTGAGCCAAAGTCACTTAGTAAACTTAATGGCTGAATGGGGATTTGAGCTCACCACATTAACCACAACAACACAGTGTAGGCATACAGTTAAAAAATGAAATAATGGGTTCCTTACATATACCATATTTACGCTCTTGTCAGCTCACACCCCACATGGACAAGTCTTCATTATTGTACAAAATGCATTTGAAGGTCTGATGCAAATAAATTGCACTGTTCTGAAACAGGAAGCAAAAGGACCTCTTCCCTTCTGTTTAGTTATCCAGCGAGTTACAGAGCAACCACTTTTCTTCCCACCTCCTAGTCTTGACCTGCTTTCCCTGATCTTTGTGATTGCTGCCAGCTTGAGAGAGGGTTGGAAAGAAGCTGCCTAGGTAAAAGTTCAGATTCTGTTTTCATTCTTTGGAACACTTTTGGTTTCTGACATTTCCTCCTCCTTTCTCTCTTCCTACTTAGTCCTTTAATCCCCCCTTTCAAATGGAATACTATTATCACCTTCCCATTTTAATTTTCCTCTTACTGGTTGAGCTTAGCACTAATTTATTCTGCATTTGGCTTTCTGCTGCCACACCCAAATGTAATCACCGCCTGCTATAATACAATTTGTTCCATTGTTGTACTGCTCAAACAGTCAGGAAATTTTTCCTGATATCTAGCTGGAATCTGGCTTTTTGTAGATTTCTTTCATGTAGCTGCATCAGGCTGCTTCAGGCCTCTTCTGTACAGATCAGGGGCAGACTGAATGGAATTCTTGTGGACAGAATGCAAACAAGATGTTAAGAAGGATTTTAGCATAATCTTGTTCCTGACATGCCAGCTTCCTGTGTGCAGGGCATTGTTGGAGGAGTAATGAACAATGTGGCCATACGTTTCCCACATCATACTACACAGAGTTCAGTGTTCATATAAGGCAACTACAGCCCGCTGGGGTGAGGCATGTAGGAGAGAATGCCTGGCCCTTTTCTCATCAGCATCCTGGTAAAGCAGCTACACTTCATCATGCTTCAGGGTAAACATTCAGTTTGCTCCACCTTTTATCCCCAGTGATCAGAGTAACCATGGGGAGAACGTAATATTGAGTTACCCACTGGGGATGAAAGTGTGAAACAGCCCCCAACTCCCCAAAGTCCCCTCACTCAAGATGAAGCCATTGCAAGCTCCAATGCTTTTTGAAAAACCCCTGAAAAGGCAATACTTTAGTGGTTCAGTTCTGCATGTTTAGACATTAAAAAGTCCCACAACACCCATAATTTCCAGCATGCTGCAGCCAGCCATACTGTAAGGGTTACATAAAGGATTATAGATTTATTGTTATTTATTTTTGTGTAAACACTTGTATGATTGTCTAAATAGGATGGGGTCTAAATGTAAACCTGTCCTAAGAGCTATGGCAGACAAGGGCCTGATAGGAAGTCAAAATTTCTGGCACCAGATTTCCACAAAAAAATTTGCACCAAAATAATAAAGGTTGGTCCTACCAAGTTACCTGCTTTGCTTAGAATGGTGGCTTTGTTTCTTAAGTTCTTTTTTGCCTCATTTTCATGATGTTCAAAATTTTAATATGAAACTCTAGTGAAAAGGTTTATTTTAACAGCTACGTTCTTTTGTGCAAATTGTGGAGGGTGACATTATGAGGTAAGCTTAATGCATTTGGGTTCATTCATATGCATGTTTAGACAGAAGGGTCCTACAACTTCCAGCATCCCCAGCACATCTGGAAGCTGTAGCACACTTTTCTAGCTATGCATTCAATCCAGCCTTTGATGAATGTAACAACAATGCTAGAACTGTAGCATATTTTTTAAAAATCCTAACTGAAAAATAAATGTCTATAATATACATGTCTAAAATATGACTGTTTTTCCTGAGGCAGCAAGATAAAAGAGCCTTAAAAACCTCTTAAGTTTTACTGCTGTTTACATTGCAGTGTGAGTACTAGTCTATTTATTTATTGTTACTTATTTAAAATCTTTCAAACCTGCATTTTTGGCCAAGGCATTACAAGCTGTCTTTTAATAAAAATTCTTTAAAAAACAAATACCAACAACCAATAACATAATAAAAACAGCTTCAGATAAAATTAAAGACAAAGGTCCAGCAAGAAACGTTTGATCTTCACTGAACAGCCATGCTATAGGTTGGCACTGAAGAAAATATTTCAGAGGTTCATGTGACTCGAGCTAAAGGTTGCTTGCATCATTGCGACACTTGCATTTTATTTTTAGCGGCTAGTTCATATTAGTCCTAACTGGTTCCAAACTAAATTGAATGGGAATTTAGAACTAAATTCTTGTAGGAAATCGTATAGGCATAGCAAATCTGACCCTCTTCTTTTCAGGGATATTTGGCAATTAACTATGAATCCATCTAACTTTTCTCTGAACACAGAACTGATATAGCACTGATTAATCAAAATACCATGGGGATGTATTTCATGTGAGAATGTCGAATATTTCCCAAATTTGGTGACTATTTATGAATTCCATAAATTTCCAGGAACGGTACAGATGCCCTGTCTCCCAGGGATCCTGGCTTTTACATGCTTTCAAGTCCTCTCTGACTTGCAGTCACCATATGAAGGAATGCCCTCCAAAGGGTCCTATCCTTGACTGACCCGCCCAGCTCCTGTAAACGCAAGGCAGTGGCTCGCTTTATGGAGGCCATTCATTTCATACGTGGTCTTCCTCTTCTGCCTTCGACTTTCCCTAGCATGATTTCCTTCTCCAGCAAATCTCACCCTTTCATGATGTGTCCAAAATACAACATCTTCTCCCAGGGATGGTTGTCAGAATAATAATAATAATAATAATAATAATAATAATAATAATAATTATTATTATTATTATTATTATAACATTTCTATGCCGCCCCTTGCCGAAGCCTCGGGGCGGCTTACAACACAATAAAATACATTGAAATACAATAGAACATAATAAATTACCATTAAATACAAAAATACAAAAAATACACTGAGTTACAAACATAATAATATAAAATTAAAACTATCAGTATAAAATAAGTAAATAAATAATATAGGAGGAGAAAAGAGAAGGAAGAAGAAGTTGCCCTGGCCAGATCATATGTTTTAACAATTAAAATGATGTTTAAATAAAAAGGTCTTTACCTGGCGCCGAAAAACCAGTAACGACGGTGCCAGGTGGACCTCTTTGGGGAGTGAATTCCATAGGCTGGGCGCTACCGCAATTGGGGTGTGTATGTGTGTGCACATGTGTAAGAGGGGGTGATTCGTGTATGTGTCCTTTGGTCTCATTTTGAAGCTGCAGCTAGGGCAGAATGCAGCAGCGGGATGCTCACTGAGACACGGACAGCCACTGCTAATCCCTGAGCCATGTTCAAGGTTATATTATGGCTACACAAAGCCCTAAACAACTTAAGACCAGGTTACTGAACAGACTGCCTTTCTTTATGTATACCCAAACACCTGTTAATATCACCACAGGAGGAATATCAAAGGTTATTCCCAAAGCATTGAATAGTCTAAATGATTGGAATATTGCCATGTAATACCTCACTTGTGGGTAGTAACACCCAGCTTGTAGAAGAAAAGCCCCTTGTGCAATTCGGAAGGCAGAAAATATGGCATCTTTCAAGCACCTGTGCGTGGATTTGCAAAGGGCCTGGAACAGCCATCCAGTGCTTTATCCAATGCGGTGGGAGGTATTAAATATATTGGCAACCAGGTATGCAAATACATAGGGACAGAGCTGAGCTCTGTGAGAATGCCACTGTGCCTGTGGACTTCCCAAAAGGGCACATGTCTCCATTCACATCAACAGCTGGGTATCTCTTCACCCACAGCTGCAGAACTAGAGCTTCTGCTAGGGGTAAATGATTAAGCCCTATGGCTTGGCTCTATGGAAATGACTGGTTCTGAAAGAAACAAGGCTTAATTCCATCATGCAAAAGGATTTTTCCCTCCTTTCTTCCCAATCATTTGGCTACTGCTAATGACAACTTACAGTGAAGGGCATTTAAATAGCTGAGGTGCTTACAATGCAAATGCACGTAAGTGAAAAGTAAATGGGGAAACTACAAAACAGCAGGGATCTTGAATAATGTTCCTGCCCTATAAGTCATTATCTGTCCATTCTTGTTAGTTTTCCTTATGCCTGTTCATTTGCTATCTGACAGGTCTGGTGGCAGCTCATGCGGTTCTGCCAAAATGCTTTAAAAAGGGTGGGAGGAGGGAGGAAAATGCTGTAATCATTGGGCCTCTACACAGTGAATGTCAGGTGAAATGGCTGCACACAACTATACACATTTTACTTCATAAATAGGAGATTTTTTGTGAAAGAGATTGTCTCTCCTTCCAATATAACAATCGTTATTTGTTTTTTGGCGCCAGGCGAAGACCTTTTTATTCAAATGTCATTTTAACTGTTAATAGTATTTCTTTTATGCTTTGGCCAGGGCGACTTAATTTATACTGTTAATTTATATTATTTTATTTTAATGAAGTTATTTATGTTTGTGAGCCACCCCGAGGCTTTGGTGAATGGGGCGGCATAGAAATTTTCTAACTAAATAAATAAATAATATTTGATTTGCACATGATAATGGGGAAAATCTAGTTATATGAGAGGTGTAGGATAGAGTTCAGCTCCATGCAGTTTTCTTCTACAAAGGATCGAAGCATTTCCTTCTCTCTGCCACAGCTTCTTATAGCCAGTTAGGACAAGTATATGAAGCCATCCTAATAGCTAGCATGGATTAGAACAGCCCTCTTTGCATGTCCACAAGACAGGGATGGGCACCAGACCCAACAGCTTGGCTCACACAGGAAGAGTCAGTTCATGGAAGTGGACTTCCTTACCTCTTCTTCCCTCAACAATACTCAAAAGACCTGCCCCATCCAGATGGTTATTCACCCTCCTGAATAGGGTGAGATAAAGTGTGGGTGGATAAGCAAGGGGAAACCCAGAAAATTGGGTGCAGGCGCAATGGCAAGGAGTTCTGCCCATGGTAGTCAATTCACCTGTTTTTCCATTATTTCTGCTCTTCTCTTAACCCTCTTTTCAGGGATGGCTGCTGGTCAAGCAGAGGGCAAGGAAGTCAGCTTCACCAGCAGGGAAGTCAGCTTCTTGCTACCAGTGCATTGTTGGGTGTTGTCCAATGGTAATAAAGCGGGATTAGGCAAATAGAAGAGGGGCTTAGCAGCAGCTGTTACACTGAGCAGCTAACTGACACCTCCCTGTTCTGAGGGATGTGCACCAGGTGCTAAAGCAAAGGAATGAAATAAAGGCTATTGCCATGATCCCCTGCCTATGTGTTTTCTCCACATATGTGACTAGCTAATAGAAACAATTGGAGGCTGTAGGATTGATGTTACAGCTCCTCACATTGACCCCATAAATGTCGTCTTCTCCAATCTGTTGCCTTCCAGATATTTTGGACTTCTATGATGATCAGGAACCTGGGCAGGGCACTCCTGGATAATGCGCTGACAGTAGAAATACCAGGTTCTAAAATGTATACCAACCTCTAAAGTTGCTACTCTTAGAAGGTAGAATGTGGGAACCCAAAGAGTCATCCCATGAAGCTGACTGGTGGCAGATTTAGGACAAAAAAGGGGATTACTTCTCCACACTATGCATAGTTAAACGGGAATTCACTGCCATGGGAAGTAAAGATGGCCACCAATTCGGATAGCCGTAAAAGAGGATTGGGCAAATTCATGGAAGAGGAAGCAGTCAGCAGCTACAAGCTTGGCTAGCTCTGTGGTACCTCCATCATCAGCTTTCCAGCATACACCAGCTGCTGAGATGCTTGGGCAGGCAGAACTTGTATCATCCTGCTTGAGAGATGCTGGTAGCAGCTGTTTTGCCACCGTGTGAATGGAATGCTGGACTGGATGGACAATTGGTCTGATGCAGAATGGCTTTTCTTATTTTCTCAAGCTTCTGTATTTAAGGCCCAATGCAATAATCTGCTTAATTTAAAAATCAACAGATTATTTACTGAATGGTTTAACAAAATATTTGGTCCTAGAGAGGAAAATGTTTATTTTCTTTAAATAATTTCTCTACTTTCTTATATTATCCAAGAACATCTCAAGACAGTTTGCAAAGAATTAAAACCAGCAGAACAATGAAAAAAACCCAGGCAGCCAGTACTTGAATTAAAATACAGTAAATTAAGAAATTTATTAGCTAACAATGAAACAACTGGGTAAATAAAAATACCTTGGACAGGCACTGGAATGAATACAGCGTCAGTGCCAGGAGAAACTCTCTGGAGGGCATGTTCCTCGACTGGGCTCTATAGCTGAAAAGGCCCTTCTCCTCCTAACAGCCCTCCTCACCTCTTTCAAGGGGAGCTCTTGGAGAAGGACCTCTGCAGCTTATCTTAAGGTCTGAGCAGGTTAATACGGAAGGAAATGTTCCTTTAGCTATCTAGGCCCTAAACCATGTAGGGCTTTATATGTAATTGTCAACACCTTAAATCAGGCCCAAGTTTCAAGAGGTAGCCAGTGTGATTGGTATAAGACTGGTGTTGCATGCTTACATCTATCAGTCCCAGTCGATAACCTGGCATCTCTGTTTTGAACCAGTTGCAACATCTGGGCCATTTTTAAGACCTGACCCATGTATAACTTGTTACCACAGTCTGAATGGGACTATGGGTTACCAGCATGTGGGTTATTGTTGCTAGCCTCTGTCTATTCAGGTGAGGATGCAGCTGATGGAGCAGCCTCAGCTGAAGGAAAGTACTCTTTGCCACAGAAGCCATCTGGAATTCCAGGGACAGCTCAGGATCAAAAAGTACTCCAAAGTTCCATCCCACCCAGAACAGGGTGAATATCACTCACCTGAACAGATGGCCCACCCACCAGTAAAACTTCCATCTTAATCTGGATTGAGCTTCAGTTTATTGGCCCTCATCCGGTCCATCACACCTGATATCAAAAATATCTCTCTGGAGGAATATTTGCAAGATTTTAAAAGTATATCCTACAGCTGAATCTTGCTGTCTTCCTTTAAGCTTCGTGGGAAAAACATAACCCAGCAATGCTGAAACATGTGCTCTCTGTGTAAAGCACCCAGGCTGGCTTTGTAAAGCACAATTCACATGAAAGAAGCTTCACATAGCGGCTACATACCAAGCATATTGTCTCAAGCAACTCTTTAGAACCAGGATGGAGGACCTCAAGCTTGGGGGCCAAATATGGCCCTCTCGAGGTCCCAACCTGGCCTCTGGGTTTCCCATACAGCCATGACCCCTGGCACAACCTGCTTTCCCCAAACCACTGCTTGATTGGTGCTTTGTGCCCTATTCTAAAAATGTCAAATGCATCTCCTAAGGATTTATTATTGTTAGTAGAAGATTTAAGCTAAAATATAGTGGGCTTTTGGTCCTTCCCCATTTGCCTTCAGCCCTGCACACCACTGGGATGGAGCCCCTGAAAACATCCCCAAAGTGGAATCAGGCTGTTAGGCCAGAAGACGTTCTGCATCCCTGTCTTAGAAGCCAACCTAGGCCTTAGAAAAACGAATGAATACTCACAGCAATGATGAAGGCCGTTTTATCCTTACAGCACTCCATATTTCTTGAGCACTGTTGTCTGCATCCAGTCTTTCATCTGTGTCGCCCCAATAGCCACTGTCATCAGTATCCAAGCTGTCACTGTGATAATTCTGTAGTCCAAGTCCCTGACCCTTATCTTCCTGTTCTATCTGCTTCCATCCCTTAGTCAGCTCTGAGACCAGGTTAGAGCACTTTCTCCTTCTTGTTGGGGACATTTTGGAATGAAGGAGTTTATCAATGTCTCTGGAGTCTTCAGTACTCTTGTCTGTCTCAGTACATCCATTGTCTTTTTCATACTTGTCGCTGAGGAGACTAACACCGCTTCCTCTTTCATAGATTTTACTTACTATGGTTTTGGTCACTTCTTTACTTCTAATGTTAAGTTTCTGGAGAGCCTCATTTGATTCATTGGGGGGTTGTTCTCCACTCTGTTTTCGCACCTGCTCTTCTAATGGAGACAATGCATTGTCCATCAATTGGTCTCCCCTGGAGTGAGTAGTTTGTTTAGAACATATCCACTCTCTTGAGGGAATGCTCAGGGGCTTCTCCTCACCGGGTACCCATCCACTGGGCTCCTGGGCTTGTTTGGTATGGTGCTCAGATGCCCACTGCTGCCACCCCCGTGCCAAGCTGATGACGAGGCTGGCCGTTCGAATCTTTTTGATGGCCCTTTTGGCCGGTGTGGTCTGTTGGTGTTCCTCTGGTGGCATCTTGTTTGCAGTGCCTTCCTCGCCTATCCTTGCATCAAAACCACTTCAGTTCGATGGACCTATAGCAAGTAACAACCAGAAGAGACTGGCGGGGGTTTAAATCCATGGAGTGGGGAGTGTATGAAGCTGGAAAGTATGTGAAGCATTTCGCACAGGGAAAGAGTATCCGTATTCTGACAGGGTTCTTTTTTTTAAAAAAAGCCCAGGTTGCATTTCACCACAGCAGATAGACACTGGATACGGCAAACACCCGTGACGCACACTGCCATTTTTTGGCCGCAGCTGTGATGGAAATTAACTGCACTTGTAAGTGCCCTCTCTTGATGTACCTTAGTCACTCATACAGTCTGAGAGTAAAACATGCTTTGCATCTGTTAAGTAACAGACCTTGCTTGGTTTCTCTATTCTCACTGTGAGGTGGAAAACTAATCGAAGAAAACCCCTGGAATTAAAGCTGTATAAAATAAATAATAATAAAAATAAACAATGCTTTTATTTTTAACTAACTTCAAGCTTGTGGCTACCTTGACACTGCAGAGTCTACTTTTATGGAATCTGAAGGCTGAAGTGATGAAGAAGCCAGTTCAGTGCAGAACAGCAAACAGGAGAAAAGGTGGAAGAACTGAAGGTGCAGCAGGCTGAAGGCAGAGAAACACCAAAGCTTGCATTTGGGGTTTCTTTAGGTGTGACTAAAGGAACAATCCCACGCACATTTAGACAGAAAAAATGTTTCCAACTGACTGGGCCATGCCAAGAGTTGCAGGCCTTTTAAATTTTTTCTCTCTAAACATAATAGGATTGTGCATCCAGGCTGCAATCCTTTATCTAAGAATAAACCTCATCCAGAAAACTAGGAATGATTTATTCATTGCTCTCAATACTTTAACTTAATACTACCTTTCAGGGTGAAAGTATGTATAGGATTGTGTGGTTTGACATTAGGCCATGATACAGCTGTGCAATCATCTAAGTCCCATCTTTGCTTTCCATTGGCTGTGCCGGCTAAGACTGATGGAGGCTAGGACTGAACAACATCTGGGCGGCCACAGCTTGCTCCCTCCTGGTCTAAATATTTATCATCTTTAAGATTAGGGAAATATTTAGCACAATTTGCAGAATGGCAAGAGCAGGTTTTACTCAGTTTGCTTATTTTATTTGGAGGAAGTGATGTGTTATTACATGGTAGGAGCTCATGAAATAGCTGCTCACATGTGAGTATAATGTTTCTCAAATGCAGAGAGAAATATCTCTTGCTTTTTCCGTTCTACATGCCAGAGATTTTTCAAGGCAACAGGCGGTCATTTTGGAGTGGCAGAAACTGAGAGTTAAAATGGGGCAAATGAATCATTGGCAGTATGCTAACTTCTGTGTAGCCATATCAGAGCTAAATTTACACTCTGTGTACTCCAAGGGAATAATCTGGACTGAATGTCTCCAGCTTTATTTATTCATTTACAACATTTATAGGCCGCCTCAATGACAAAAAGTTCTTTGGGAGCCTTAAAACATTTTAAAATCCATACCCACCACAGCAATAAGGTTAAAATATTAAAATATCATGCACCCATATAATTAACTGAGATTTTCAGGTAGTTTCAAAGGCAGCCCCAAAATTCAACTTATTGCCTTTGTGGTGTAGTGGTTGGACTGAGTTCTAGTCTACACTTAGCTGCAAAGCTTAGAAAACTCATTAACTCTCAGCCTAGCCTACCTCACAGGTTGTTGTGAGGATAAAATGGGGTAGAAGAGGTTTATGCAAGCTGCTTTGAGTTCTTTGCATGGAAAGAAAGGTAGACTATAAATAGATAAAGGAAGGGTTGGGGTGGGGCTGGAAAGATAAATATTGCTTGTTCTTGCATTTACTTGAAGATCCTCACTGCTATATATGCATTAATATTGAAAAAGTGGCAGAAGGTGTTAGCTGTTGCTTACAGGCCCTGGGATATAGCACCAGTTCTCTTAGATATTCTCCGCATCAGAAGTCTAACTCATTTATCCCCATATATTTTGGTTTTGGTTCAGACCAAATCTTTTGCAATCTGTCCTGCCAGAATCCCCAGAGTTCTTCCTGTTCTTAGCCCACTCCTGCAAATTGAACTAAGCCAAGAGGAATCTTCAGATGCTTGTGGACCCTTAGCTGAGCAACCGGCAAACTTCTTCGTCAAGGGTGCAAAATACAGGATGCAAAATACAGGAGCTGCATTGCACGGCAGGTGTGAAATGATGGCGCTGCTTGCACACTGCGTGGGGCTTGATTCCTGGCAAGCACCCTGTGAATGCTGGGCAGGCAATCAGGACCCCTGGTTCTGGACTACTGCAGTGCAGTCTGGAATCCTGGAAGCCAAAACCTGGGCATCCAGCAGGTTTTCTGCACAAAACTCATGTCTCACACATCCCTACTTCTGGCACCTATAAATCTACCAGACTGAGCACCTCTTCAGAGTTGTCTACATGATCCCAGTGCTGGTCCCTGCCTCCTGCTGCCCATGCTCTGTCATTGCAACTGGTCTGCACAAATGAAAAACTCTCAGGAACTGGTGTACTCTGGGATGTGTAGTTTTTGAGATAGCATGCTATAAAAGCAGGGACACATCTCTCTGTCTCAAAGTACAAGCACTGTACAAATCAATCCTCACTACGTATGGTGTGAATCCTCAGAATATAGAGTATGAAAGCTGGACAGTGAAGAAAACGGACAGGAAGAAAACTGCTGTTTGAAACAAGGAGCTGGAGGAGAGCTTTGTGGCTATTCTGTACTGATGAACAAGTGAGTCCTAGATAAAATCGAGCACACAGAGAAGTTGTTATATGTGCATGCTGGAAAGAGCAATATAGAGTTCAATGGAGTAAATGCCCACTGAAAAGGGTGCAAATGCACTGAGTTTGAGATTACATTCTACTGTATATCTCTCAATCTATGAGAGTGTCCACTCAATAAAGCGTCATTCTTCTGAACGACGCACCTAGACTTGGAAGCTTCTTATGAGGAAGCTTTGCTTGTCTGATTCTTTCAGCCTGATTATATTCATTTTATTCAGGGTGCTGGTCACAGGGCTTGGGTGGAGGACTGGGGCTGTGTCATGTGTCAGGAAAGGCCCTGGCCTTTCACACACTGGATTACACGAAGTCCTGTGGTGGCATTAGAGCTCACAGGGACACAGTACTAATGCCCTTTTAGGAGCAGGGATGCTAATGGCATCTGTCCTCCTCAAACATTTTCTTGGGGCTAAAGTAGGGTGCAAATCTAATCAATTAATTAATAAGCAAATGTAGACTACTTCTTCCTGTCAGTGGTCATAACTGGAGACAGATGTTGATATCACAGCTGGCACAGGTGAATTTGTCTTACATGACTAAGTCCATACATCACTCATGCAACCTGGACAGTACTGAGCCCATCGCAAATTCTTCAATGCCTCACCTTTCATCGAGAGCACTGCAATCCTGAGGTTAGTCAGTGTGTGCAACAAACTACCTACAGCACAAGGGAGAATTTAGGCCAGCCTAGAGGAAAGAAAGTGTTGTCCAACACAGGGTAGCAAGTGACCTGCTATCAGGTCTGCTCAGTAACCTCAAACCATTTTTAATCACTTGCTATCTTGGCATTTCTATCACTGAAAGACAAGCTGTGCCCTCACATGTGAAACCACTTAGGCAGCTTTGCTTTACATTCCTTCCAAACCCATCTGTCAAGAAGCAAGATTTACAAGTGGATTTATCCCTTTCCAAGGCAAGGAGACACACTGTCCACACAGAAATGTTTTCACAGAGCAAAGGCCAATGAGAGATACCACCCTTGATAAAATATTATTTTCTCTTCTGCTAAGTTTTATTCATAGAACTTGTGGGCACAGATGAGCTCATGCAATCATCATTTTTAAATTGGGCTAGGAGAAAACAGTTCTGATCATGTATTCCATCACTTTACTGGATGCTTTCATTCCCCGCTCCCTGCTTGAATTACACCAAAGTTTACTGCATGGTTACAGACTCAGGTTAAACTGTACTTGTGGTGAAACATAGAACCTGATCCAAAAGCACAAGTCACAAAGGTACAACCACACTTTTTCCAAGTTTACAAAGCTCAAAAAGATGTATTCATCATGAACGTGTCCTAGGTTATCCTGAAAGAAGCCAAATAGTGATGAGAATATGAACAGGAATGGAAGTTGGAGGGTACTGGCTACAGTCCTAGTTCAGCTGTGCACATGAAAAGCTCCTGTAGACCTTTCTCAGTCTACCTTCCTGCGTTCTCCTGGTGGTGCTACTGCTGTGCAGGGCAGCTGAACGCAGTTGAAGCCCTCTGCTGGGAGACTTCTTCCATCATCAAGTGCCCACTTTTCTCCCAGGCCCTACAGCTGCATTCCTGCTGTATTCTGGGAAAGTCGATACAGTATGTGGATCGTGCCATGATTAAATGTAATCACTGGGATGCACTGGACTTCATAGTATCTGGGTGGAGGCAGGAGTCTTCTCTTGCTCTCCTGCCCTTATGTTGAGTTCTCATCTACCTTCCTGACTGGGCTCAGCTCCAAGCCTTCCATGTCAGTGGACCTATGGAAAGTGAGAAGGGCTGTTAGAGAAGAGCTTCGTCGCATCTCTGGTTTGATTGGCCAAAGCAGCTCCTCTTTCTAGTCATTGCCATGCCCTATTCGCCTCTCTTTTCATTTATGCTCAGTCTGCACCAACTTGTAGAGATTGAGAGAGAACTCTTCCTCTCTTTGTCCTGAATCTTTGGGATTCTCTGCAGCTCCCTATTTCTCCTTTTCTCCTTCCTTCATTCTTTTAGGGCACTATCTTATGTCCTCCAGACATCATCTGGGGAGACGGAATTACTTGGAATCCGAGGCCCAAGGTCCCGGGACCTCAGTGCTGGGGTGCTGAGGGCTGGTCCCCCACCTCATCTCCTTGCAGCACAGAAAGAACCACACAGAAAAGGGGCCTGTTGCGGCATGGGAAGGGGAGGAGCCTGGGGCCAATGGCTTGTAACCTATTTACAT